ACAGGTCTCTTCACTCGAGGAGCAATGGGGTAACTTTTTGGAATGCAAAAGAGCAGGGCAGGTTCCTTCCCAGTTGCCTTTCTTGGTGTTTCCTTTCTTTTCCGTCCCTTGTGTGCCTCCGAGACTTGGCGTCCGTCGCTTTGTACCTCCTGTGCCGGACACGTGAAATCTGAACGTGATCGTGAACCTGCAATGAGAAAACTGCTGAGCGGGGAGCTTGTTTCCTGTGTGTTTGTGCAGCACCTACAAATAACAGTAGCGTGAGCAGGGGTGTGTAATTGGGGAGGGGTGAGTGATCTTGGGGCAGTGTCATGGAGCAGATCACTGTTCGGATCCAGTTGCCACTGATAGATAACGGTCACTTCAGCTAGCTGTTTCCAGTCGGCAAGCTTGTGTCACGCAGAAAAGCCAAGGGGCCTTTCTGAGTTTCAGAAGCATTCAGCCCTAAAACGTGTGATCCAGATCCTTCCATCCCTCTTCATCAGTAATAATATTAACTCTCAGTTCTATGACCGACAGGTCCCAGTCAGGATCAAGACCCCATTCTGCTAGGTGTTGTACAAGCCAAGGTGCCAGGTTCCTTGCCCCAAGCAGTATCTCTCTGTGTCTGTTTTATACCTAGATTGCTACTCAGTGGGGATACCCTGGGGTTGACTTTAGCCCTCTGGGTCTTTAACCCTTTGTGTGTCTCTCCCTCCATTGGAATCACTGATGTGTGGCTTTGCTGTTGCAGGTAAACTGGATATCACCCCCGATGACCCTCGGTGGATCGGCGCGTGGTGGGCAGGCTTCTTGCTGTGTGGTGCCTTACTTTTCTTCTCGTCCCTCTTGATGTTTGGATTCCCGCAGTCCCTGTCCCCCACGGTGGAGCACGTGGTGGAGAGCGAGCAAGCCATGCTCCCTGAACGGGACTACGAGAGGCCCAAGCCAAGCAATGGGGTCCTGAGGCACTCGCTCGAAGGGGAGGACAGTGCCTCCTGCCTCCAGCAGCTGAGAGGTGACAAACTTATTGCGTTTCTACAGCAGGTTCATTGTTGGTTAGATTCACAATTTGGCTCTGATTTTGGCTACCCCACCTGCCTCCTCTCCACCCCCCCCCCCCAAAAAGAACCCTGTTGGAATTTCTCTCCCTCACTTTTACTTATCCCTGATAGTGCACTCATTTTAATGGGAGGCATTGTTCCACTTGAAAGACTTTGGTTTAAGCTACAAGATGGGGCAATCCAGAGTAAGCCATTGGGGTTCATCAAAAATGGGGCTAAGGAAGGGAGGGGGGAGAATGGAGGGAATAAAACAGTGGATGACAGAAGTTCTCCAAGACACTTGAGTTTCTACTCTCCAGAACCTCACCGTCTTGTAGCTTGGCTCTGCCTGCGGCTCACACAGTGGGGATAGGCAGAAAGCAAGTATGGCTGATTCAAAGCGGTTTGGAGCTGCCTTTTGATGGAGCCATGGCAGGGCCAACAGAATCCCATGCTCCTGAGTGTAAAACAGCAAACGCTGGGCACCGACAGAGCAAAATACAAGAATGCAGAATAGGTTTAGGAGGGAACCTTTAGAAAGGGCAAGGCCAGAGAACAGTCTAGAGTATCAACAGAACCCTTGCTAGGGCATAAAACAGCCAACACGTGTCAGAATAGAATAACCTGGGCCAGATCCTCAGCTGGTGGAAATCAGAATAGCTCCAAGGAGGTCAAGTGACACCAGCTGAGGTGTGTTTATGTGTGTGTGTGTGTGTGTGTGTACACCATGGACATGTGTAGTATTACAGAATTCTTTAGGTGAGAGGGCAGCTCTACTAAGGTATCTGGTCACCTCCCACTCGCTGTCATCACAGCAGAGAGTTGGTTTCCTTATCCCTTAAAGCTTCCTGATAAACAAGGGCCAAACCATGTAATCCTGTGCAACCCTTACCGACTTCATTGGGGTGTGCGTGGTGCGAATGAGGGGAGGGGAGTAAGGATACTTGGCCGGATTTTGAATAGAGAACGCTTTGAGTAATGGATGTTGTTTCTCCTTAGGAGAAGGTCAGTTGTGATCAGAAAATTTCAAAAATTTGAACAAAAAGGGGGGGGGGGGGGAATTCAAAAATTTGCTGTCATCCAGTCCTTCAAGCTGCAAGGATTTGGAAATGGAATATTCCATGGGTGGAGATTGGCTGTTCAACCAGCCAGTCCCTTCTGCCAGTGGACACGTTTGTTCCATCCATCCAGATAATTTCCATGGCTGTCAGCACTATAGCATCTGAATGTCCGTATTTGGATCTGAGCATTGTATTTACATGACAGACGGCAGAGGTTCAGACCAATTGGGTCATTGCTCAATTTCAGACACCGGTGTATTGTAACATGTAACACAATTTACCTGCTGCACCAAGTGGAAGGAATTCTGCTCAAGCGTGGTGTGGACCAGACTGCGTTATTGAGTTATTTGTTGAATTACTGCCTTGCAGCATAGGTACTGTGTATGCTGTAGGGGCCTATGCATCACCCAGTTACACCAGATAGTGTTTGTATCCCTAGAAATGCACTCCAGAAGAGGGCGATGTTCTGATTGGTTAGTACTACAATAGAAAGCAGACAGGGACAAACCATTCCACTGAAGTCGATAGGCTCAGACCAGGAAGAAATCTGTCTGTGTGTACACTTCTGTATGTTTGAGAGGAGACACTTCTTGCAAACAACGGCAAAGTATAATTAGGGGTGTTTGGAAGGAAATACTACATACCTTCAAATGCCATTGAAACTTTTTGTTTCAGAAGATGGAGGAAGTAAACCGCAAGACAGCCATTTTAGACTTGATTCTGACTAACAGGGAGGAATTGGTTGCGAATCTGAAGATTGAAGGCAACTTAACTGACAGAGATCATGAAATGATAGGTGTCAAGATTCTAAGAAAGGGAAAGAGAGAGCAGCAGAATAAAGATAACAGACTTCAAAAAAGCAGACATTAACGATCTCAGAGAACTGGTAGGTAAGGTCCCACGGGAAAAAAATGTGAGGGAAAAACAAGTTCAAGAGAGCTGGCAGTTTCTCAGAGACAATATTAAAGGCACAGCAGCAAACTGTCCTGATGCAAAGGAAAGCTCGGAAGAATAGTAAGAGGCCAATATTTGCTCCATGAGCAGCTCTTTAATTACCTGAAAATCAAAAAAGAATCGTACAAAAAGTGCAAACATGGACAAATTGCTAAGGATGAGTACAAAAGAAGAGTGCAGGCATGTAGAGACAAAATCAAAAAGACCAAGTGAAAAAATGAGTTATACAGAGCCAGGGGCATAAAAGGCAACAAGAGAAATACAAAGGAAAGTTCCCTACTTAGCAAAGAAGGAGAGCTAGTTACAGACAACATCAAGAAGGCAAAGGTGTTTAATGCCTATTTTGCTTCAGTCTTCACTACAAAGGTAAATTATGACCAGATACGTAACACAATTAATATGAACAAGAAAGGGGAAGGAACACAAGCCAAAATAGGGAAAGAACAGCTTAAAGGATATTTAAATAAGTTAGAATTATTTGAGTTGCCAGGGACTGATGAAATTCATTCTAGGGTACTTGAGGAACTAGCTGAAACTAGCTATTAGTGATTATCTTTGAGAACTCAGGGAAGGCAGGTGAGGACCCAGATGACTGGAGAAGGGCAAAGGTAGCATATATATTTAAAATGGGGAAAAAAGAGGACCCAAGGAATTATAGACCAATCAGACTAACTTGGATATCTGGAAAGATACTTTTCAGAGTAGCAGCCCTGTGTTAGTCTGTATCCGCCAAAAGAACAGGAGTACTTGTGGCACCTTAGAGACTAACAAATTTATTTGAGCATAAGCTTTCGTGGGCTACAGCCCACTTCATCGGATGCATAGAATAGAACATATAGTGAGGAGATATATATACATACAGAGAACATGAAAAGGTGAGAGTTGCCCAACCAACACTAAGAGGCTAATTAATTAAGATGAGCTGTTGTCAGCAGGAGAAAAAAAACGTTTGTAGTGATAATCAAGATAGCCCATTTAAGACAGTTTGACAAGAAGCTGTGAGGATACTTAACATGGGGGAAATAGATTCAATGTGTGTAAAGGCTCAGCCATTCCCAGTCTCTATTTAAATGATTAAGCAATCAGTTTGTAAGCACCTTGAGGACAATAGGGTTATAAAGAATAGCCATCATGGATTGGTCATGAACACCAAACCAACCTAATTTCCTTCTTTGACATGGTTATTGGCTTAGTGGATGGGGGGGAGGGGGAGGAAATATAGATGGACTGTATCATGATTGTAGTAAGCTTTTGACACAGTCCCACATGACATTCTCATAAGGAAACTAGGGAAATGAAATTACTGTAAGGTGAGTGCAAAACTGTTGAAAAAACATATTCAAATAGGACTTTGCTGTCACACTGGGAGGATGAATCTAGTGGGTTCTCTTGGATCTAGTCAATATTTTCATTAATGACTTGGATAATGGAGTGGCGAGTATGCTCATAACATTTGCTGATGACACCAAGCTAGGAGGGTTGCAAGCACTGTGGAGGACAGAATTAGAATTGAAAACGACCTGGACAAATTGGAGAATGGGTCTGAAATCATAAAATGAAATTCAAGAAAGACAGGTGCAAAGTACTACACTTAGGAAGGAAAAATCAAATGTACAACTACAAAATGGGGAACAACTGTCTAGATGGTGGTACTGCTGAAAAGAATGGGGAGGTAGTGGATCAAAACTTGAATATGAGTCAACAATGTGATGCAGTTAATACAAAGGCTAATATCATTCTAAGGTATATTAGGAAGAGTGTCATATGTAAGACATGGGAAGTAATTATCCTGCTTTACTTGGCAGGTGAGGCCTGTGTCCAATTCTGGGTGCCACATTTTAAGAGAGATATAGACAAATTGGAGAGAGTACAGCAGAAAGCAACAAAAAACTAGAAGGTTTAGAAAAAACGATCTCAGGAAATGTTTGGAAAAAAACCCTGGGCATGTTTAGTCTTGAGAAAAGAAGACTGAGGAGGGACCTAATAACAGTCTTCAAATATGTTAAGGGCTGGTATAAAGAGAATGGTGATCAATTGTTCTCCATGTTCACTAACAGTAGGACTAGAAGCAATCGGCTTATTCTGCAGCAAGGGAGATTTAGGTTAGATATTAAGAAAAACTTTCTAACTATAAGCACCGGAATAGACTCCAAGGGCGGCTGTGGATTTCCCATCATTGGAGATTTTTAAGAACAGATTGGGCAAACTCCTGTCACGGGTAGTCTAGGCCGGGTACACTTGGTCCTGTCACAGTGCAGGGGGCTGGATTAGATGACCTCTTGAAGTCCCTTCCAGCCCTATATTTCTATGATTCTGTGAAATCCATTGGACTAGAATTACTTTTGGGAGTGTTAGGCAGTTGGCATTTATTTTGTTGAAAAATAAGTGCCATCCCTTCTAAGTAGGGGCCATTGGTATATCTGGGCTAGCGTGTGTGTGCGTTTGTGTCTTCGGGTGCATGGGGTTGTGGTATTTATGTATTTGTGCAGCTGAGTCGGGGAGGACGGGCGTGTATTCATAGATTCATAGGTTCTAGGACTGGAAGGGACCTTGAGAGGTCATCGAGTCCAGTCCCCTGCCCGCATGGCAGGACCAAATACTGTCTAGACCATGTGTGTCTGATTGCATGGGGTAGTGTGTGTGGATTTGTGTGAATGTGCATCTCTGCGCTCAGGGAGGTTGCGGGTGTGTGTGTATTTGTGTAATATATCTTTGGGTAGGTTTGGGGGTTGTTTGTGAATATGCAGGTGTATATATGTGTCCGGTTGCATGGGGTTCTGTGTGCATATTTTGTAGGGAGGTTGTGTGTGTGTTTTTGTGCATGTGCATTTCTGTCGCTGGATGGGGTTTTGTATGTGTTGTCTCTCTCCCGAGGGGCTTGTGTGTTTGTTGTGTGGACAAATGTTGTCTGTCTGGGGGAGTTGTGTGTGTATGTTGTACACAAAGGATGAATTTCAGGG